GTAATAATAGTGGTTGGGTGCCGTGGCTCATGCCAGTAATCCCAGCACTTTGGGAGGCAGAAGTGAGAAGACTGCCTGAGCCCAGGGGTTCAAGACCACCAGCCTGGGCAACTTGGCAAGACCTTGTTTCTACAATAAATCAAAAAATTAGCTGAGTGTAGTGGCATGTGTCTGTGGTTCCAGCTACTTGTAAGGCTGAGGCAGAAAGATCGCCTAAGCCCTGCAGGTCGAGGCTGTAGTGGCCATGAGTATGTACTCCAGCCTGGGTGACAGAGTGAGACTCCAACTAAAAAACAAACAAACAATAAATAATAGCGGACCCAATCCAACAGTGTATCAAGAAGATAATATACCATATTCAAGTGGAAGTTATCCCAGGGCTGTAGTGGCCATGAGCATGTACTCCAGCCTGGGCGACAGAGTGAGACTCCAACTAAAAAACAAACAACTAAATAATAGTAGACCAAATCCAACAGTGTATCAAGAAGATAATACACCATAATCAAGTGGGAGTTATCCTATGGATTCAAGAATGGTTCAACATATGCAAATCAATAAATGTCATAAATCACAACAGAATGAAGAGCAAAAACCATATGATCATCTCAATAGAAGCAGAAAAGGCATTTTCATGGTAAAAAACACTCAAACTAGACATAGAATGAACATACCTCAACATAATAAAGGACACATAAGGCAGATTCACCACTAACATATCGAATGGGGAAAAGCTGAAAGCCTTTCCTCTGAGAAATGGAACAAGACAAGGATGCCCACTTTCACCACTCCCATTCAACACAGTACTGGAATTTCAATCCAGAAATCAGGTAATCAGGCAAGAGAAAGAAATGAAAGGTATCTATATTGGAAAATGGGAATCAAATAGTACCTCTTTGCAGTTGATAAGCTCTCATTTAGGAAATTGTAAAGACTCCATAAAAAAATTCTTAGATTTGATAAATTCAGTAAAGTTGCAGGATATGAAATCAGCATACAAAAATGAGTAGGGTTTATATACACCAATAATGAACCAGTTAAGAACAAAATCAAGAAGGCAATCCCATTTGCAATAGTTAGAAAAAAGTTAAAATACCTAGGAATACATTTAACCAAAAAGATGAAAGACCTCTACAAGGAAAACTGCAAAACACTGATGAAAGGAATTGAGGAGACACAAAGAAATGGAAAGACATTCCGTGGTCATTCATCAGAAGAATTCAAATTAAAATGACCATACTGCCCAAATGTAATCCCTATGGAAATGCCAATGTCATTTTTCACAGAAATAGGTCAAACAATCCTAAAATTCACATGGAATCCTCCCTCCAAAAGAAACATAAAAAGTGAAAGGAATCCTGAGCAAAAAGAACAAAGCTATAGGCATCATACTACCTGCTACATTACAAGGCTATAGTAACCAAAACAGCATGGTATTGGTATGAAAACAGTCACAGAGACCACTGGAACAGAACAGTGAACATAAAAAGTTTCCATGTATTTACAGCCAACTGATTTTTTCATAAAGGTGCCAAGAACATACAAGGTGGCATCCAAAAAAACTCAGAATTTATTTATGCAAAATTTTGTGTTCTTACATGTTAAACTTAAGTCACCTTCAAAGTACTCTATGTAATACACCTATCAAGACACTTTTTCCACTGCTCAAAAGTTTTTGAACTCTCCAATTTTGATGCCTTTTAGTGCTTCTGCCGTTTTTTGTTTCACCTCTTCCACATCAGCAAAACATTTCCCTTTGAGGACTTTTTTCATCTGGGGAAACAAACAAGAAAAACAACCTCACTCGGAGTAAGATCGGGTAAACACGGAGGGTGGGGCACAGGGGTCATGCCGTTTTGGGTCAAAAGCAGCTGAACACTCAGCATGGTGTGGGCAGGGTGTTTGTGTAAATCCCCCATCATGAAATGGGCAAAGGCACTGTGAAAGAATCTCCAAAAAATTTCACTGAAGCCAAGTACAGCCTCTCACAACAATGTTAGCTGGTACACTGATACCAGTTGGTTCCTAGAACACTTACCTAGTAGGGAAAGCCTGTACTACAAAGGGTCTGTGCTCCGAAAAATGATTCCAGTTTTTTGTTGTTGTTCCCCTCTTGTACACTGGGTAAAGGACACTTTCAATAAGTCATGCTGGGAAAATTGGGTAACCATATGCAGAAGAATAAAACTAGACACCTATTTGTACATATACAAAAATCAATTTAAGCCAGGCTCAGTGACTCATGCCTGTTATTCCAACACTTTGGAGGTGGAAGTGAGATGATTGCCTGAGCCTAGGGGCTCAAGACCAGCCGGGGCAATGTGACAAGACCTCATCTCTACAGTAAATTTTAAAAATTAGCCAGGTGTGGTGGCATCTGCCCTGTAGTTCCAGCTACTTGGAAGGCTGAGGTAGAAGGACTGCCTGAGCCCAGCAGGTTGAGGCTGTGGTGTCTGTGAGCGTGCCGCTGCACTTTAGCCTAGGTGACAGAGTGAGACTCCAACTCAGATGAATAGTTTGCAAGTATTTTCTTCCATTTAACAGGTTAGCTCATTAATCTGTTGTTTTCCTTTGCTGTGCAAAAGCTTTTTAGTTTAATATAGTATCACTCATCTAATTTTTTGTTGTTGTTGCCTGTGCTTTGAGGTCTTAACCATAAAATCTTTGCCTAGATTGATACCCTGAAGTATTTCCCCTGTGTTTTCTTCTAGTAGTTTTAATTTGGGTACTATATTTAAGTCTTTAACGCATCTTGAGCTGCACACCACCACACCCGGCTAATTTTCCTATTTATTGTAGAGACAAGGTCTCACCAAGTTGTCCAGGCTGGTCTCAAGCCCCTGTCCTTTCGCCTCCACCTCCCAAAGTGCTGGGATTATGCCTGGCCTGAATAGACATTTCTTAAAAGAAGACATATGAATGACCAACAGGGATATGAAAAAATGCCCGACATCACTAATCAGGGAAATAAAAATCAAAACCACAATGAGTTATTATTGTACTTGGGTTAAAATGGCCATTACAAACAAGAAAAAAGTAACATGCTGGCAAGGATGCAGAGAAAAGGGAGCTAATAAACTGTGGGTGAGAATGTAAAGTAGTTCAGGCACTATGGAATACAGCATGGAAGTTTCTAAAAAAAAAAAAATAGAACTATACCATACAGCACTTCTACTGTGCATTTATCCAAAGGAAATCAGTATATCAAAGGGATACCTGCACTCCTATGTTTATTACAGCACTATTCACTATTGTAAAGATATGGAATCAACCTAAGTGTCTATCAATGGATAAATGGATAAAGAAAATTATGCACACATACATACACAATGGAATACTATTTTGCCATAAAATAATGAAATAATATCATTTTGCAGCAACACAAATGGAACTAGAGGTCATTATGTTAAGTGAAATAAGTCAGGCACAGAAAGACAAATACCAGATATCATCACTCATATAGGAGCTAAAATAAAAGGTTAATCTCATGGAGACAGAGAGTAGAATGATAGCTATCAGAGGATGGGAAGGGTATATGGGTAGGAGTGGAAGTGAAGAGGTTGGTTAATGGGTACAAACATACAGTTAGACGAAATAAGTTCTAATGTTTGATAGTAGTATAGGGCTACTATAGTTAACAATGTACTGTTTCAAAATAACTAGAAGAAAGGATTTGAAATGTTCCAAATACATACAAATGATAAATACTCGAAGTGATGGATACCCCAAGTACCCATAATGAATCATTATGCTTTTTATGCATGTAACAACATATCACATGTACCCTTATATAAATATATACAGATATTATTTTTAAAAAATTTTAAAGCAAGACCCAGGTATGTGCTGTCACTAAGAAACCCACTTTAAATATTAAGAAAATTATAAATTGTTATGAACTAAAAGTAGGTTAAAAGTGAAGGAATAGAGAAAAAAATAGTGCATGCAAATGCTGGTAAGATTCAAATAAGATCAATAATTTAGTAACAGTATTGTACCAATGTCAATTTCCAGATTCAACAATGGCATGATTATTTAAAATGTCTTTAGGCTGGGCGTGGTAGCTCTTGTCTGTAATCACAGTACTTTGGGGGGCCAAGGTGGAAGGATTGCTTGAGCCCAGGAGTTCGTGAATAGCCTAGGCAACAAAGTGAAACCTCATCTCAACAACAAAAAAGTTAGCCGGGTGTGGTGGTGTGCGCCTGTATTTCCAGCTATTCAGGAGGCTGAGGTGGAAGGATCATCTAAGCACAGGAAGTCAAGGCTGCAGTGAGCTGTGCTTGTGCCACTGCACTCCTTCCTGGGAAACAGACTAAGACCCTGACTCAAAAAATTAAAATGTTATCTTTGGAGGAAGTTGGGTGAGAATACACAGAACTCTGTACTATTTGTGTAACTTCATATCTTATACCAGCATCTAGGAAACCTACAGACTATAACTTGTTAGCTTGTTAAATAGGGTAAAATCAAGCCTCAGTCTGAATTTTTTTTTTTTTTTTTTTGAGGCTGGGTCTCACTCTGTTGCCCAGGCTGGAGCACAATGGCATGATCATCACAGCCTCAATTTCCCAGGCTCAAGTGATCCTTCCACTTCAGCCTCCTGAGTAGCTAGAACTACCGGCATGCAGCACCATGCCTGGCTAATTTTTTTAAAGACAGGGTCTCACTATTGCCTAAGCTGGTCTCAAACTCTTGGGCTCAAGCAGTTATCCTGCCTCGGCCTCCCAAAGTGCTGCAATTACAGGTGTGAGTCATCCTTCCCAGCACCACACTCAACAATTTTGTTGACAAAGACAGGATGCTAATAGATATGGCTTTCTGGATTAGGAAGGACAAGGCTCTGCAGGTCAGTTAAAGAAAATAATACTCCCAGGATCTGGTAATGAACACTCTTGCCTAACTGGTACATAAGCCAGGTAAGTACTGTAATGAGTCCTTACTTCACCCTGTTAATGATGCTGAGCAGCTAGAGGTAGGATTGAAACGAATCAGCCAAAGAGTACCTTAATTGTTGCTCACTCTTTTCTGGGCAGAAAGAGGAAGGGATGTTATCATGGCAGTATGACTGTGGCTCCTGAGTCGAGGAGTTCCCAAAGCTGCAATTAATATTGTCAGCAATGAAGACTTTGCTATTCAATACAGAACTTTGGGTGACCTGAAAACAAAAATTCATTTGGTTGAATTGACTGTGAGTGGCCACTTAAAAATGTGTGAAGGAAAAGCCTTGCTTAATAGTATAAAGTCAAACACCTGACTCCTGTCTCAGCCCAACTTGGCTTGTAATAAGGATAGGCTCTGGGTGCCAGAGTGACCAAGGTTGGAAGACTGCAGGGCAGAGCACAGTAGCATGTATATGGACAGCAAGGGGATTTGGGCCATCATCCCAAAAGTTGAAATCTTGAAAGTCTAAAACCCTGAAAATCATAATTTCAAAATTTCAGAATCCTGAAAACATAATTGCAGAAGAAATAATTTTAAAATTCTTTAAAAGACATTTATTTATATTTTAAAAAGAGGATTTATTTGAGCAACAGAACACTTCATAGGCTTTCACATAATAAAATAGGCAATAACATACTTATTTTTGCAACCATAGATATTCAGGCATACTAACATGGATGTTGCATGGATGCATATAATAATTGTTAGCAAATGAACTATATTCATAAGTAAATATGTCAAAAAAGCAAAATGTGGCTGGACATGGTGCTCATTGCCTGTAATCCTAGCACTTTGGGAGGCCGGATGGGAGGGCTGCTTGGGCCCAGGACTTTGAGACCAGCCTAGGCAACATAGTAAGACCTTATCTCTACAAAAAATTCTTTTAAAAAAGTCAACCAGGTATGGTGGCGCCCACCTATAGTCCCAGCTACTTGGTAGGCTGAAGCAGAAGGATCACCTGAGCCTAGGAGGTCTAGGCTGTGGTGAACCATGATGGTGCCACTGCACTCCAGCCTGAGTGACAGAGTGAGACCCCAACTCAAAAAAAAGGTGAAATGTATAAATGTGTATTACTGTAGTTGTATACACCCAGCTTTATAACAGTGGTCATTTGCACTTGTTTAGTCAAATGTATGATGTCCAAGGTAGCAAAAGGAAATATGTCCCAGCTTTCAAAGAGACCAATTTACCCTCTATTTGTTCTCTGCAGGCCCTGGCCCATTGGATAGTGCCTGCCAACCTGGAGAGCAGATCTTCCTCACCTAGTCCACTCAGATTCACACACACATTCATCTCTGGAAACATTCTCACAGATATACCCAAATAATGCTTTACAAAGTTTCTAGGTATTCCTTAATCCAGTCAAGTTGACACTTAAGTCCACAAGTCTACCTCTTGTCAACTTGACACCCAAATGCATCTCCTTAATCCATACTTAATTTCCAAATAAAGACAATAACAAGGTTATAATTCCACCTATCACGATGCAAGTATACTGCATACAATGGAAAACACACTAAATTAAACGAATCCCTTCTCCTGATTTGGCTGGCAGGGTTTCAGCATTCAGGATTTTAATCTTTTGAAATTTTAGATGCAAGGGATTTTGCTATTTCAGAATTTCAACATTCAGGATTATGGCTTTCAAGATTATGGTCAGCACTGAAAGCAAAGGCTCCTGGAAGGTGAACACACATTGAATGCTGGAGGCTGACTGGGAAAGTAGCAGCAGTGCTCAGGCATTGAACCTAGAGACATAGGTCAGTGGACAAGTACACTAGCAATCACATTTCTTCCCCACCTGCTCTGCTACCCAGCATGCCCAGCCGGGGGATAACTTGGTCTTTTGACATCTATGTTGTATCACCTGATGCACATATTAAACTTCTTGGTCTGTGTTCCTACAGGAAATAAGACACCTTAATTCAACTGACAGGGCTTAGTAGGGAAGGGAAACTTAAATTGTTAGGGGCCAGAGAGAGCTGAGTTGGCAGGTGTTAGAACTGCCAATTAAAGCAATGAGCCACCTGGGTGCAGTGGCTTACACGCTTGTAATTCCAGCGCTTTGGACAGTCAAGGCGAGATGATCGCTTGAGCCCAGGAGTTTTGAGACCAGCCTATAGGCAACATAGTGAGACCTCATCTCTACAAAAAATTTAAACACTAACGGCCCAGGCGTGGTGGTGTGAGTCAGTAGTCCCAGCTACTCAGGAGGCTGAGGTGGAAAAATTGCCTGAGCCCAGGAGGTTGAGGCTGCAGTGAGCTGTGATCCAGCCTAGGCAACAGTATGAGACCCTGATTCAAAAAAACAACAAAAAAGCCAAGAAGCCAAAACGAAAGTATCAGTTAAAGCTTTAAGTACTTACTATCAAGAGGCTATTCCAGAGAAAGCACCGACTTCCCTGTCGTTCCCACCCCCAGCCTGGAATGTAGGGTATAGGGTCAGGTGGTCTTCTCACTGCTGAGGGAGCTCTGAAAAGTTTCCTGCAGTTTTGTGGATACTAGGCTAGGAGTTGAAAAAGTACAAAGTCAGAATGGAGAAGTTTCTTCAAGTCTCCCCACAACTCTAACACCAGCAAGACTCTGTCTCAGCAAGGGGTACCTGGGCTTGAAATGCAGAATATGCTTAAGAGCATGACTGGTAGTAGGGCCTGAGTTCTTGACTTAATTCCCATTAAAGACTGTGCATTGGCTGTGACCCAAGTCTGGTATGGCAGGGCAGCTTTTTCTTTTGAGGCCTGCTGGGCAAAGCCTTTGTAATTACCTGTGTTCAGGTCTGAAAATTCACACAAGTTTTTGACTAGCAGCTGGGCACTGTCACCAGAGCTTTTTGGACTAATTCAGTGTATGCATAATAGAACTGATGTATATTATTTTATGCCTGCACTTCTCTGTCTTATAAGTCTCACTTTCAAGGAGTACAGCATGTACTGTTCCGCTTCTGGGTGGTCCAGCAGAAATAATATAGAATTCCAGAAAGAGAAAGAGAAACCACAGCTTCAAAGACTTAAAGGCTGCCTGAGTACTCAGAGAGGCCGTGGCCTAACTAACAATATAACTGCCTGTCCCAGCCACCAAGTATACCTTTATATGCTTTTACAAAAGCTTTTGTTGAAACTTAATGTGTAACTCATGGAGGCATTGTGACTCTGGTCTGACATCCCCATTTTGGGGTGGGTCAACTTGGACTTAATGACTAACAAGGTGAAAATAATTTAACAAGCCTTTCTAGTGGAACGGAAATAGTATATTCAAGAATATAGCTGGAATAGCCCTAGCAGCTTTTTGGTGCTATTTGAAAAAGTGACGGCCATCTTTCTGTGGTAAGCTGTAAGGCCAGCTCCATTGCCTAAGCCACAGATTCAATGGGGCAGTTTCCCCTAAACTCCTGAGCCTGCTTCACTGATTAAGATGAAACAGGGGGGTTCAGTGAGCTGCTGCTGTTCAGTTTCATGCTGCAATGTAAACCAGAAGCAGATGTGGTTGAGAACTCAAGGCAGCCCCCATGGATCTGGCAGTATTACCCTTAATGAACCTCACTACATTTTTACTAACTTTAGGGCTAGGCTATTGCCAAAGGCCGATAGATCTGCTAGATGAAATCCTATAGCCTGGCAGATTAAAGATACCTCTCTTTGGCCATTAAACTCATGGAAACTGTTTAACTTCCTTAATAATTAAATGAATATTAAAACTAGATACCATTTTTTTTCTTATACACATACCTTTAGACTGTTGGTTCAGTTCCAGACAATAGCAATAAAGTGAACAACAGAAAGTTTTTGGTTTCCTAGTGCATATAAAAATTATGTTTATACTACAGTCTATTAAGTGTGCAATAGCATTTTGTCTAAAAGAATGTGCATACTTTAAAAAATACTTTATTGCTAAAAAATGTTGACAGAGACATGAAGTAAGCATATGCTGTTGAAAAACTGAGGACTGCCACAAACCTTCAATTTGTAAAAACGCAGTATCTGGGAAGTGCAGTAATGCAAAGCACAATATAATGAGGTATGCCTATACTGACAAAAATGAAAACCTCAGGAATATCCAGTACTGGCCAAGCAATAGGTGCAAAGTTATTCTTAAACACTGTTTCTGGTAGTTTAAATTGGTGCAGTCTTTTTGAAAGGCAGCAGAAATGAAAATGAATATAGGCCGGGCTTGGTGGCTAAGGTGAGTGGATTGCCTGAGCCCGCGGGTTCGAGACCCGTCCGGGAAACTTGGCAAGACCTCATCTCTACAATAAATAAAAAATTAGCCGGGCGTGGTAGTGCGCCTGTAGTTCCAGCTACTTGGAAGGCTGAGGTGGAAGGATCGCCGGAGCCCAGCAGGTCGAGGCTGTGGTGGCTGGGAGTGTGCCACTGCACTCCAGTCTGGGCGACGAAGTGAGACTCCAACTCAAAAAAAAAGAAAGAAAATGAATATATACCTTGACTGAATGATCCTGCTTCTAAATAGCTATCACAGAGAAGGAATCAAACATATGTAAGAGGCATGAACTAGCATGTTCATAAAAGTGGGGGGAAACATTCCATTAAGTTTTATTTATGCCTTCTCCCATTATCTAGTATTATATTTCATTATTAATTCCCAACAAAGTTTTGGAGTCTGTATCTATACCTACCATTTTTTACTTTTTTCCTCAGGATTCATTAAACATTTTTCAAAGGGTCACCATAATATTATTAAAATTAATATCCTCTTACCAATCTTCATCTTTTTCTATCACTATACAGCAGTCAACACAGATTGAAATTACATTCATGGTAATTGTCTACCATGTGCTTTCACACACTTACAAATATATAAAAAAAACTCATGACTTAATAAAAAACCCTTTGAAATAGGTGGCATTAATCCTATCTTGCAAATGAGAAAACAATCTTAGAGTGGACTGCCTGGGACAACAAACAAAAAACCTCCAGAAGATCTAAGTAAGTACTCATCTAAATAATTGGTTTTGGGACCCTCTTCTACTGGTTTCCTTTATAGTTCTTTTTCTATTATTTAACAAAGCTAAAGATCAAGATTAACCTTTTTCGTTGGTGGATTTCAACTTTATTACAATGAACTTGAATGAAACAAAGTGAAAATAATTAGTATAAGGCCTGGCATACTCAAAGGCTAAGTACTCATGTTAATGACTCTCTAGAAGCATACAAAAATAGCCTAATCCAAGAGTTCAAAAGTATATGTGCTCAATTATTTAAGTTCCCACATCTATCTATGGTTATACTAACTTAGATGGAAACAACCAAGCAAATATTGTTTTGTAGCAATTGGCAGACTTTAATATTCAGGAAAAATTAAGTTCATCATATACATTAAAAATATAGGAAATTTCATGCAGACATGAAGCTTCCAATTCAGCCTTTGTGGCAACTTTTAGAATGAGAATTACATATAAATACAGTACATTTTACAGTTACCAAACTTCATAATTTTATACTGTGATTTATACAACTTTTTATATTTTACATATCCCATCTAGCTCACATGATTAAATACCCTAAATCTGCACTGCTTCAGAATATGGAAATAAAAGGGAAAAAAAGGCAAGCAGAATGACCTTATCTTCTCCTACTTCATGAAAATGGATGAAAACATTTGTGTACACAACTAATTTAAGGAAAAAAATTAAAACTTTAAGGCTTACACACTTTATTAGCTAGGACTAAAATCAAAAAATACAAAATTAAATAAATTCTCCAGTGATACTTCTATTACTGATTGACACCACATTTTCAAGTTTAGAATATATTAACTGCAAAAGCTATAAGAAAAAAAGTAATGCAAATTTGTATAGAGCATTTAAAAAATATTCATGATATGAAGGAGAAATTAAAAACAAATGAAATAACTGATTTCAGAATTGGCTAAAATACATGCTATAATTTAGAAATATAAGTATTAAAGAATAAACCTAACAGCAAAAAATATTTTAAGTAATAAAGCCAACCCACCAGTGTCTACCTGTTATGTTTTTGCCTGTGAGAAAAACAAACATCATTTGTTTTGATATAAGTTGTAAAAAAAGTGAATACTAGTCACTGAATAAAAAGCATTTCTAAATCACTCAAAAACAGCATGCATTCCTTTCTATTCATAGAATTTTTAAAAAATATTTATGTGCCTTATTTTTTTCCTAAAAAAAAAAAAAAAACCAAAAATCTTGAGTACTTTTCCCCCTTTCAATTAATTTCAAGTTCATTCAGTGTAGCTAATGAGAATCCCCACCAAATGAATATCTGTCAGGTATTAAGGAACACAAAAAAGAGAAAGTTAAAAAAAAAAAACACAGGTCACAGATTTCCCTAATTTGACAAGTCAAACTGATATGGAACCTCTACTGCATAGGGAGAGTAAAAGTCACAAAGGTTTCAACACTGTATGCAGAATAGGTTCCCACCCAATTAGTGAGAAGCCAAATTGAGTAGACTCCCCCAACCTAAGTGACAACAAAAGTCGAAGGATTTACAAGTAAGTTTTCCTATTAAAACATGAGATTTATGCTACCAGTACATTATTGAGATTAAATCCATCTAATCCAAATTGCCACAGAGGTCATTTAAAGAAATCACAATAATCTGTGAAAATATTCTTCCTTTTCTCCAAGAAAAGGTTAAAACATTAGTCATCTATACTTTCCAAGCTACTGGAAACAGATAATATCCATAAAAAAATACAAAGGAAAACTCCCTCCAATAAAGATCTGCTAGAGGTAGAAATTTAAAGCAGCATATACTGTTTAAAATCCATCTGTCAGGGAACAAAATTTGTATTAATCTGAAATTACATTAATGGCTGCTGCTTACAATATTGAAGACACAGACCATGGGCAGTAATTTATCCCTGAATTTCATATTCAAAATTTCCCACATTAATACCATTATGACAGTTTTACTAGTATATAATTGTTCTAATGAAAAAAGTGCTTGCTTTCATAACCCATTATTTCATACTCTAAATATAAGACATTACTGTAAACATCACACTGACAAACTGTATTCATTTGGAGTTTGAAATCTTACATTTCAAATGGATAAATGTTACTCTTATCCCAGTTTCCCACCACTATCTTTAACAAAGGCTTTTGTGGCTCACTTTGAATGTTGAGATTGCATACATTTCAAAGTGATCCGTGATGAGTATGCTTTTATAAAGTGTTTAATTTAGTGTGGCCAAAAGGCTTGTTAAATTTCTCAGTTATTTGAATGCATTCTTCTGGCCTGTGATGCTATTAATTTTAACATTTCATAAGAATGATATGTTTGATGCTTCTCTAAGGCCAGCTGAATTGGAAAAAATAAAATCAAATAATTTGAATGATAAAATAGACATAGGCTGTCTATAATCCCAGCACTTTGGGAGGCCAAAGTCAGAGGATTGCTTGAGGCCAGGAGTTTTGAGTCCAGCCTGGGCAACATAACAGACCCTGTCTCTAGCGCCTGTGGTCCTAGCTACTTGGGAGGCTAAGGCAGCAGAATCCCTTGACCCAGAAGCTGGAAGCTGCAGTGAGCTATGATCACACCACTGCACTCTAGCCTGGGCAACAGAGAGACCCTGTCTCTTAAAACAAAAACAAAAAATACACACACAAAACACACACACACACACACACACACACACACTTAACACATTGGTTAGGTCGAAAATGAACGAAAGTCCCAATTCCAGATGTTGCATATGACAGAGGATCCTTAGACTCTTCTCAAATTAACATGTGCAATGAATACAAAACAAAAAAGGAAGATTATTATGGACTTCAATACTATTAGTCATTATTAATATGGCAGACTTGCAACAGATAGCTTCATGAAGACACTGGAGATTAGACTTTGTTTCCTACTGAAAGACAATTCTGGGCTTCAAGGAAAAAGTATACTTGAATACACTTCTTCCAGTTTTACTTGTGTAGTACAAATCTGCATGGCATAGTATATTGCTGAAAAAAGTAACAGACATATTAAGAAAATAGACACTATTTCTCAATTTTGTTAGGAATAAGAAGGCACCACTGATTTGAGGTTGTGTCCTGTCATCACTGATAGTTGATTTTGAGTTGTTTATTTCAGCATTTGCTCTTATTAAACTTTTTTCCATGTGATATCACTTGAGACCATTATTGTGGCTTACGGACCACAAACAAGACACATTCATAGTAGTATTTCATCATAGAGAGATCATTCACAGTATATGTTGACAAGACAGATTCTTTTTCCACCTGCAATGCAAACAATAATCATAGTGATGATGATGACGACGATGATGGTAATGATGAGAGCGCCACTAACATACTGAGCACATGTAAGCGGCAGGCACTACTTTAAGCATTTTCGTTTATTATGTACAACCATCCCCATAGGACAGGTAACATCAGTGATCCCACTTACAAAGAACAGGTTATGTAAGTTGCTGAAGGTCACACTAACAAGTGGTAGAACTGAGATTCAAACTCAGGCAGTCTAATTCTAGGGCTCTGAACTCTAAGCTACTATAATATATTGCCTCTCTTTATTCTTAAGAACAAAACTGATGTTCATTTTTAAAATGGAATGCTTCTAAATAAAAGAACTAAAACACAATAGCCAAGATATCACAAAACCTTAGAATCACATGATTTTTTAAAAATCAAGTACAAAAGGACATATAGTGAACAATATCCCTCTTACACCTGCTCCCCCCCCAATCCCCTTATTTATTTTTTGAGTCAGAGTTTCACTCTGTCACTCTGCCTGGAGCGCAGCAGTACACTCACGGCTATCACAGCCTCCACCTATTGGGCTCAGGTGATCTATCTGCCTCTGCCTTCCAAGTAGCTGGAAGTACAAGCACATGACCACACCCAGCTAATGTTTTTGGTTTATTGTAGAGACAAGGTCTCACCAAGTTGCCTAGGCTGGCCTCAGGCAGTTCTCTTACCTCCTCCTCCCAAAGTGTTGGGATTACAGGCATGAGCCACCACACTGGGTCCCAATCCCCTTTTGCTTCTTCCAGAACCTACTCTACTTGGTATCTATCAGTGAGTGCCTACAAGTCCAATGTTATAATAATAATCAGCTGCCACTTATTGAAAAGCTGTTTCACCAGATTAGTTTTCCTTTTATGTACACATTAACCCAAATCCTTATAATTCTGAAAGCCTAGGAGTACAGGTTGAGCATTCCTAATGTGAAAATCTGAACTGTTCCAAAATCCAAAACTTCTTGAGTGATGGTTAGGTGCCACAAATATAAAATTCCACACCTGACATGTGACAGGTACACAAAATTATTAAAAACATTGTACAGAATTGCCTTCAGGCTTTGTGTATGAGATGTATATATGAAACACAAATGAATTTCATGTTTAGACTTTGGTCACATCCCCAAGATAACTCATTATGTATGTGCAAATATTCCAAAACTGGAAAAAATACAAAATCCAAAACATTTCTGGATCCAAGCATTTTGAATAAGGGATACTCAACCTGTATTACCTTCACTTTATGAATGAGAAAACACAGAAGTTAAGATATTAACTGCCATAATATCACCATTTCTGTTTAAGTGCTTTGGAAGTTAACTTTGGCAATATTCCATTCTATCCTTACCTCTACCTTGAATCCATACTGCAGAACAACGTTTTTTATATCCTCATAGCTCAATTCTATGGAAAGTTCGTTTGCCAAATTTTCGAAGTGGTACAGCAGAGGACCTATGGTTCAGAGATACTATGCGTGAATTACTTAAGTACAAATATGCACTAGTAGCTGTGTTAGACTGAATTCAAAGTTGGATGATAAGTTAGATAGTGGATGAGACAAACGTAAAAAGATGTAAAGAACCTTTACATTTGCTGAGGACACTTATCCAGACCTCTGAAACTCTGGCACAGTAACTGACATTGAGAACTGGGCCTACACTCAGAGAGGGAGTCTTTTTGGCATACTTGGTCTTGTACTGTGATTCTCCACATCATCTTTCACCATAACTTTTACTTTTTGTTTTTCTTTTCTTTCCTTCTTTTTTTTTTTTTTTTTTTGTAGAAACCAGGTCTCTCACAATGTGCCCTGACTGGTCTTTAACCCTGCTTCAAGAAATCCTCCTGCCTTGGCCTCCCAGTTGGGATTACAGGCTTGAGCCACTATACCCAGCCAACTTCTAACTTAAATTTCTGAAGGAGTATCTGAATCAGAAAATGCAAAGTCCACAAATTCCAAAGGTGTTTTGCAATCATTATGCTATAAGTAAATGTAAAACTGCAGTGACAAACTGGTTATCATGTGAAACACAGAAGGGGCCTCAAGTTAGCCTGGGTAGAAGAGTACAGGGATGGATTAATGTTATGAGAAGTTATCCTGGAAGGAGGAGGTGACACTTGTACTGGATTGCTTCTTCTCTTTTTTGCCGAAACACTGTTGAGACAGAGCTGGCTATTTAAGTAGAGTTAATATACCAGCCATAACAGCTACTAACACATGTGTCTATGGGAAAGTCACTAACTGCTTCATTTGTAACATGACTTTAATGTGGGATAATATGCAATACACCTGTCATAAATAAGACACTAAATAAATAATAGCTATTACAGCTGTTTTTATTGCATTCCTTCCCTTACTATTCTATCATTCCATATATTCAGGATCTAATGTCTCATTCAAAATAGAATTTTCCAATCTTTCAATCCATCACCCTCATCCAGGCAACATTATCACTTACTACAGGTATACCCCAGACTAATTTAGCAATTTTCTCTTTACCTTTCACTGGGTTCATTATAAATCCTACGACCAGCTGTGTATTCCCCACTACTCATACAATGCACTAGTCATGGGAGATAAAAGTAACAAATAAGACAAAGAGTCTGCTCCCTGAAGGTTCATCATTCTGTGGATCATGCTTAGGGTAAAAAAGTTTTTCTTCCTCTCTCCTCTTTATCTTACATAAACCACTTGGAAAAACCGGCCATAAAAATAATTTAAATATGTTGATGTTCTTTTCAGACGAGATTGGGTGCATCCAGGGTGGTACGGTTATAGACTGTTAGTGTTCTTTTCAAAAGGTAAAAATGATTCTTTATCAAACTACTCTGTCAACCTTAAATTTTGCTAGTTGTATTTGTACTAGTAAAATGATGTCAACTAACATTTACTGAGTACCTCCTGTGTGCCAGACCATCTCAAAGCCTCACAGCAAAGTTTTTCCAGCTTTTAAAGCTTATTGTTCCTGACCCATTATTTTAAGAGCCTCCAATAACATGGTTTTATTGTCTCTATACACATACAATCCATGATTTATATACTCAGACCATTTTTACCTCTACTCATGCTGTATTCTACCAAGAAAGCTCCAACTCTCCAACTCACACTTTAGGAGTCTTGCTGAAAGTTTCAAAACCTTGCTAAAATCCATCCTAGTCTCCAGCCCTACTGCTCATTCTTCTTAATATAGCATACTTCAAAACTTCTTTAATGCAGTGTTGCATTGCTCACTGATAATTCTTCATGTAATCAGCACTGTTTTCTAACTCAATTACAAGTCACCTAAGTCAAGAAACATGTCTTAAATTTCTTCTGAATCCACCATAGTGCCCAGCTTACTGCTGAATGTACAGTTAAGCATAAATCTTACCAAAGACAACAATTGTGGTATATATTTTTCACAACCTTCTATTACAATGGTACTTTGGCAAATATCTGTTGACATATTTCAGATTTTCCCTTACAAAGATGTTTCTTCAAGGTCAAAGAGAATAAACTTTTTGTTTTTTTGAGTTGGAGTCTCACTCTTTTCTGTAGAAATGAGGCAGTGGAACAATCACAGCTCACCACAGCCTTGATTTCCTGGGTTCAGGTGATCCTTCCACCAACCTCCCAAGTAGCTGTGACTATAGGTGTGCACTACCACACCTGGCTAATGTTTTTATTTTTGTTGCCCAGGCTGGTTTCAAATTTCTGGCCTCAAGCAATCCCTCTGCCCCAGCCTCCTAAAGTGCTGGGATTACAGGTGAAATCCATGCCTGGTCAAAATAAACATTTTAAAACATTTTTACTGACTTGAATCAAACTGCCAAAATGTTTTCCAAAGAGTTATAACAGTTTTCACTCAACAATTGCAATTATGAGTACCTGTTTTGACATCTTAGCAAGTGGTGGGAATGCAACAGTATAGTCACTTTTGAAAACAAGTTGCCCATTTGTTGAATAAGTAAAGTTATAGATACACTCACTATATGTCACCTGGCAATTCCATTGCTAGGTCAAGTTCAATGAAAATTTACCCAAGAGAAATGAAAATTTGTACACAAAGATTTGTACCAGAGTGTTTATAGTAACTTTAATCATAATAATTTTTAAACAACCCAAATGCCCATCAACTAGTGAATGGATAAACAAAATGTAATACCTCCAAAGGAATACTACTTAACAATAAAAAGAGCTGAGCATGGTGGCTCAAGTCTGTAATCCCAGCACTTTGGGAGGCCGAGGCAAGAGAACTGCCTAAGTTCAGGGGTTCGAGACCAGCCTGGGCAACTTGGTAAGACCTAATCTCTACAATAAATCAAAAAATAAGATGGGCATGGTAGCACATGCCTGTAGTTCCAGCTACTTGGAAGGCTGAGCGGAAGGATCACCTGAGCCCAGGGTGGAGGCTGCGGTGGCCGTGAGCATGCCACTGCACTCCAGCCTGGGTGACTGAGTGAGACTCCAACTCAAATAAAAAACCCACTGGTACATGCAATAACATGAATAAATCTCAAAAGCATTATGCTAAGTAAAGGAAGCCAGAGACAAAATGCAGCATACTGCATAAAATTATTCTATTCACATGACACTGGAAAAGGGAGAACTACAGTAACAGAAACCAGAATAGTGATTGCCCGGCATTAGGGGTGACAGACGAGAACTGACCTAGGGACACAAGGCAACTTTCTGGGGTGATGGAAATGTTCCCTGTCTTGATAGTGGCAGTGGTTACATGATTATCCGGTTTTTCAAAATGCATCAAACTGTACATTTTTTATTTTTTTGAGTCAGAGTCTCACTCTGTCACCCGGCTGGAGTACAGTGGCACAGTCACAGATACTGCAGCCTTTTCCTGCTGGGCTCAGGCAATCATTCTGCCTCAGCCTTCCAAGTAGCTGGAAATATAGGTGCATGCCACTACGCCTGGCTAATTTTGTGATTTATTGTAGAGATAAGGTCTCACCAGATTGCCCAGGCTGGTCTCAAACCCCTGGACTCAGGCAATCCTCTCACCTTGGCCTCCCTAAGTGCTGGGATAACAGGCTTGAGTCCCTGCACTTGGCCTAAACTGTACATTTTAAAAAAGAGTGGGCCAGATACAGTGGCTCACACCTGTAATCTCAGCAGTTTGAAAGGCCAAGCAGATGGACTCTTGAGCCCAGGAGTTTGAGACCAGTCTGGGCAACATAGTGAAACCTCATCTCTACAAAAAACAAAAAAATTAGCTGGGTTTGGTGGTGTGTACCTGTATTCCTAACTGCTTGGGATTCTGAGGTGGAAGGATTGTTTGAGCCACTGCCTGAGCCCAGGCAACAAAGTGAGACTCCTACTCAAAAAAATAAAAGGAGAAAGAAATTTTAAAAATGAATTTAGGCTGGGCACGGTGGCTCACGCCTATAATCCCGGCACTTTGGGGGGCCAAGGTGAGAGGATTGCCTGAGTCCATGGGTTTGAGACTAGCCTGGGCAACATGGCGAGACCTCGTCTCTACAATAAATTTTAAAAAATCAGCTGGGCGTGGTGACACATGCCTGTATTTTCAGGTACTTAGAAGGCTGAGGCGGAAGGATTGCCTGAGCCCAGCAGGTCAAGGCTGTGGTAGCTGTGAGCATGGCACTGCACTCCAGCCTGAATGACAGAGTGAGATTTCGACTAAAAAAAAAAGTTAAAAATAAGACACAGGGTCTCATTGTGTTGCCCAAGCTAAATTTGAACTCCTGGGCTCAAATGATTCTCACGTTTCAGCATCCTGAGCAATGCCCAGCTTTTTTCATAATCTTTTGGTGGCCATAACAGAAGGGGTAAAGATATATTTTTTTCTTGACCATAAAATATAATGTAAGATCACAACAGAAAGCTGAGATAACATGAAAAGCATTTAAAAACCCAAAATCAGCCAGGCTCGGTAGCTCAGCCTGTAATCTCACGCCTTTGGGAGGCTGAGGTGAGTGAATTGCCTGAGCCCGTGGGCTCGAGACCCTCCTGGGCAGCGAGACCTCATCTCTACAATAAATAAAAAAATCAGCCGGGTGTGGTAGCGCATGCCTGTAATTCTGGCTACTTGGAAGGCTGAGGCGGAAGGATTGCTGGAGCCCAGCAGAACGGCCACTGCACTCCAGTCTGGGTGACAGAGTCAGACTCCAACTAAAAAAAAAACCCCCAAAAACAAAAACAAAAACAAAAAAAACCCCAATATCATCTCTAATCCTAACACTCACAGTAAGCATTTGAAAATTTAATCTATCTCCTTAATGTGTATTACATATATAGGTTTGCATCTTACACTTCACTAGAAACATTTCCTTACTTCATTATTTCTAGCAAATGGTTTTACTGTGTAGATGTCTTATAATTCTTTATCCATTCCATTACTGTTAGAAATGTAGGTACAGCCAGGTGTGGTGGCTCAAGCCTGTAATCCTAGCACTTTAGGAGACTGAGGTGAGGGGATTGCCTGAGCCCATGGGTT